GGAGGGGGGGGGGGTCTCGGCTACATCTCGGCTACATCTCGGCTACATCTCGCGCGCCTCCGGGAGGTGCGGCCCGGTGGCGGAGACTGCGGCGGAGACGCCGAGCCACGCCGCGAAGAAGCCGCGCGACGGGACCTTTGAGGGGCGGCGGAGGAGAGCACCACAGAGTCGGGGTGTGACACACTATGCCCGTGTAGACGGCCGAAGGAGCCTCTCGGGGAAGGGCCGTGTCCGAAGATACACAAGAGGGTGTGTGGCAGCATCACAACTAGTACTGTTGATTGCGCCTCGAGGAAGGGCCCGCGGTACGTGCCGACGCCGGCCAGCGCGAGCGCCGCAGTGAGCACCGTGACGGCTAGGATCTGCTCGGGGGGGGAGAGGCGTGTCAGGCACGAGTGGGCCCGTCCCCGTCTCCCACCTCGCACCGACTGCCTCGCCTGCTCCATGGCGCGGGAGAGGCAGGTCCGCATGATCGTGTCGGGGGCGAGCATCAGCAGGCCTGCGGGGGGACGTGTCGGGGACGTGTCGGGGACGTGTCGGGGACGTGTCGGGGTCGTGGGCGTGTCTTGGACGTGTGTCGTGGACGTGGACATGCCATCGACGCTCTCCGCAGTCTCCTCTGAGTTCGCGGGACCGGCGTAGCAGAGGCCAATCGACGAGAGGACCACGGCGAGGACCTGCTCGAGCTCCTCGTCGCCCGCCATCACCGCGTACCCCTGCGCCTCCTCTCCCACGCCCATCGCGTCGAGCTTCTCCTGGACCATCTCGGCAGCCTCCTCCAGGGACGTGTCCAGCGCCTCATCGAGGGTGAGGACGCAGCAGAAAAAGTAGAGAAGCTGCGGCGATGAGTCCGGCGGAGGGCCCCGGTGCGCCGGCGGCGGCACCTCAGTCTCGCCGACGTGGAGCGAGGCGGCCCAGAGCGCGCCAAACGTGGAGAGGTACCCGTTAAACTTGACCGCCATTGGGCCGTCAAACTTGAGGAAAGCTGCCGCCACCATCCACCACATAAAGAGCACAAAGGCGAGCAGTCTCTCCATTGTCACGTCGCCTGCGGGCCATCGCGTCTTGACCGTGCGGGTAATCCCGCGGTGGTCCTCCACCTTCCGGTGCCGGGCGCACAGGACCATCTTCATCAGACGCGAGGGCTGGAGCGACGCCACGAAGAGCCCGCAGGAGAGCACGGACGAGACGCCGCCGACCGCCATCGCGTAGCCGTTGACATAGCCGTAGCCGTTGTCGATGGTCGCGCTGAGATACTCGAAGACCGAGAAGATGAGCACCAGGATGAGCGGCTTCATCGCACGTTGCCGACAGCTGACAGATCTAGACAGGGGGGAGGGACGCTAAATCTACCGGAGGACGCGCATTACACGCGAGTCCCCGTTCACAGCGATCCAGGTCCTCTGTCCTTAAAAGAAAGAAAGAAAACAGAGAACCCAAGGGAGGGATGGGAGGGGAGGGAGGAGGGAGGAGGAGGGGACGGCACGCCGCCACCACACAGGGATTTTAAGGAGAGGGGTGTGATGCGCTAGCCGTCGCCCACCCTAACCCTTTGGGCGTCTGCCTCTTCCTATCTCTCTTCGCAGTCCCTCGCCGATTCTCGCTGCAACCTTCATGCCACCTCGCGGCCGTCCCACTCTCGTCGTTCTCTCCCTTGTCACTTCCTCCTCTGTCGCGTCATTCTCTTCTGCCTCGTCCTGCGCCGCCGCCGCCTGCCGTCCCCTTGTTCTCTCGGCTTCTTTCGCCTTTCGGCGCAGCTCCGCCCTCCTTGCTGCATATCCTGGCCCCTCGAGTCTATCGAGCTCCCCTCGCGCAAGGACCACATTTCTGACTCCCACTCCGATCATTTGCCTACAGGTCATGTTCCTCTGTCCTGAAAGAAAGAAAGAAAGAAAACAGACAACCCAAGGGAGGGATGGGAGGACGGCACGCCGCCACCACACAGGGATTTTAAGGAGAGGTGTGTGGTGCGCTATCCGTCGCCCACCCTAGGGAGTCTGCCTCTTCCTATCTCTCTTCGCAGTCTCTCGCCGATTCTCGCTGCAACCTTCATGCCTTGATGGGTAGACACCCAGCGCTCGTTTTGACCGCGCAAGATAAAAGGGTGGCTAAGGGCTCTGCCCGCAAGGCGCCCGCGTCGCAGACGCGGTACCATTGACAAATCTGCAATATACCCCCACACGAACAAATAGCAAAATCCGAATACCGTGCACAAATCCGGCGATCTGGGACGCAAGCCTTCAGCTGGTGCCAAGACATCCGTAAAGTTGAAAGCAGAACGTCCGCCAAATCCGTGCTCTTCGCGCTACCTGAGGGGAAAGCCGCTGATCGAGCCCAGCGTGCCCGCGGCCGCCTCCCGCGCAGCACCGCCGCTGCGGAATCGGATCGATCCCATGGAGGAGGAGGGCGCAGTCGGCCAGCGCAGCAGGCGGAGTCCCTCCCCGCGCCGGAGCCCCCCTGCAGTCGAGGGAGTCCTCGTTGGCGATGAAGGTGGCGACATCGAATCGCGGCCGACACACGTCACGGGAGGAATGGGCGATGAGCGGGAACGATGCGCACTACGACGCCGACTCCGCCGTGCTCGTGGCCGCAGAAAGCCGCGCTCCAGGAGCACGCCAAGATGCAATGGCTCGCTTGCTTCGATTCAGCTCTCTCGGCAGCAGAAGTGGGGCTGGAGCGGGTGGGGGTGGATGCCGATTGAGGGGGAGCGTCTCCAGCTGCGCCCTGTGGCAGCTGCGCCCTGTGGCAGCTAGTCGAGGGACTTGGTAGTTGTGACCCCCCTGAGTGAGGACAGGAGAGAGAGAGAGCTTTTGTGGTGTTGGTGTACGCAATAACGGGACAGGGTGGTTGTTCTCTCTATCTCCTCTTCTAGCTCTTAGCATGAGCTGCGCCCGGTGTCCGACCCCTTTTGCGCAGCAACACCTTAAACTTTTAGGCCCTCCAAATTCGGGTCGGAGCGTAGCGGAGTGGGCCCCGAGTTTGAAAAGGGCGACGGACGCTTGCGTCCTAGCCTCCAACAACGCCTCCCCGGCGCAGAGGGGCCCCCGGAGGGATGCACAACCGCTCCACGCCACGCCGCTTGCGGCGGTCCTCTTCCCAGCTCCGCTGAGGGCCCGCGCGTTATCTTTTCCTGCTGATGAGGGCAGGTTCCTAGAGAGTGCGGCAGCAGCTCGCGCGGAGCTACACATATTCTCTGGCGGCGCGAGCACCGATGCTGCAGCAGCTCGCGGCGCTCGCGCTTGCATTCGCCCAAGTGGCGCCGCAGGCGCGGGCGCCCGCGACCGCCACTCGGCTAGCCGCGTCGCCGCGGCTCGTGGCGGCCGCGCCGCCGCGCGCGAGCGCCAGCAGCAGCAGCGGCCGGCAGCAGCAGCCTGCCGCAGAGGCGCCGGGCAGGCCCGACGGGCGGCCGTACGAGGTGGTGATCGCCGGAGGCGGCATCGGCGGCCTCTGCACCGCGCTCGTGCTCCAGAATCTGGGTTGTCGCGTGCGCGTCTTTGAGAAGACGTCGCGCTACCGCCCGTTTGGCGGGCCGATCCAGATCGCGTCCAACGCGGCCGAGTCGATCCGGCGGATCGACGAGGCGACGTACGAGAAGATCCTCGCGCGCGCCACGGTCATCGGCGACCGCACCAACGGACTCAAGGACGGCAAGTCGAATGAGTGGTTTGCGACGTTCGACCTCGACTCGCCCGTGAGCAGCCGCCATCCCGCCACCCCGCCCGCCGCCGCGGCGTCTTCCCGCGCGGCCGCGGCAGCGCACCCCCCCCCCGCCGGCGCGCGCGTCGCTCCGTGGCTGAGCACGCCCCGCCCCTCCCACCGCCAGGCGCGGCGGCGAGGGCAGGTCTCGTCTGTCGTGATAGACCGGCCCGTCCTGCAGGAGATCCTGCTCCAAAAGGTGCGAAACACGGTGACCAAGGGGGCGGAGGTGGTGGGGTGCAGGGAGGTCGGCGACCGCGTCCTCGTCGAGCTCTCCAGCGGGGAGACGCACGAGGCCGACCTCCTCATCGGATCCGACGGCGCGCACACACGCGCCTCCCTCCCCGCCTACACACACACGCCGCCACGCAACACACGCCGCGCAACACGCCTCGCCACCACACGCCCGCCCCAACCCGCCCACCGCCACCACCTGCACGCACGCCCCACACGCCCTCTACCCCCCCCCCCCCCCGACCGCAGGCATCAAGTCGCGGGTCCGTGACGTCTTCGACCCGGGCAGGCGCGCCCCCGTCTGGAGCGGCTACACCTGCGTGGCCGGCATGGCCTACTGCCGCCCGGACGACATCGAGGAGGTCGGCTACAAGGTCTGGGTCGGCAGCCAAAAGTATTTTTTAAGGTTGGACTTGGGGGGGGGACCCTTCCAGTGGTGAAGGCCGCCCCACCACCGCCCCCTTTCGGTTTCACCCAAAGCCGGCTTAAACCCCCCCTTTAAACCCCCCCCCCCCCCCCCCCCCACCACCACCACCCCTCCACCGCGCCGCAGGTATGCCTTCCTCAACATCCCGCCCGGCGACGCCACCGTGCCGAAGGGCCCCGGCCTCGTCCCGTGGCTGCGCGAGGGCGAGTTCGGCGACTGGGCGGCAGCTAGCAGAGACAACGGCCGAGAGACAACGGCCGAGAGACGGCCGAGAGACGGCCGAGAGACGGCCGAGAGACGGCCGAACCGTGGCACCGAGGGCTGGAGGAGAGACGGCCGAGTCAGGGCCGAGTCAGGGCCGAGTCTATCGCCCACGCAGCAGCTTGTGGACGAGTTCTTTGACCCCCCCCCCCCCCCCTCCCTCC